AATACCAATATCATAAATGAGTGATACCGATACCATGAATCGATGATACCAATATCATAAATGGATGATACCAATACCATGAATCGATGATACCAATATCATAAATGGGTGATACCAATACCATGAATCGATGATACCGGTACTTTAAAATGATAAAAGCACAAACCACTATCACGAATTGATAATAATTAGCAAAAATCTTTTCACAAATCTAAAAAAGAATACTTCTATCAGAAAGGAATGAATATTACAATGAGAATCAGCTATGAGTGAGAAAAAACAAATGAAAGTATAATGAAAATATTGGGAAAAGAATTGGAATCGAGAAAAAAAAACATTGGATATGAGCTAAATTTGAGATAATAATAAACGCATTGAATATTTTGAGAATGAATGAAGAAAAAAGAAAATTTTGAAGTTTGAATTATCGAATTTTAGCCAAAATAACAATCCCTCGAATATATTTTGAAAATCTTTAGGTATATTCTAACTTGAAGAATTGACATAACTTTACTTTAGAACCTAAAAAGTTGTGGTTTCCTTTAAATCGATTCATTATGTGATTTAACGTGATTTAGGTGGAAATACAAAAATTTCAATACTCAATTTTAACATGAAATATTGAGCTGTAATAGAGGATTCTGATCTTACCATCGATGCTTTCATTGACATCCATGGTCCACTTTGATTGTTTGGTTCAGACGGAGGTACGTCGTCAATTTGCGACAATTATTTAGCGCATTGGTAGGTATGAATATTTGGCTAATTGTACTGTAACCGTTGAGGAGACTTTTTTTTTTCAAATTGTAAACTTATATAATGGATATTTGCGCAATTCGATTTCAGTTTTGTAGTCTGATCCACAAATTGTCGTCACAGTGTCATCAAATGTGACACGCATGTCACAAACGTGAACCAGTTAATTCTTTCATTAAATATCACTCATGTATAGTTTCATTGAATTTACATCCTCTTCAAATGTGACAGACTTTGCTCTTTTTTATGTCATCATAAATATCAGCATGAAATGGTCAAATTATTTTATTGATCATCTTAAATCACTCTTCAGAGATATTTATATTGCGGTAGTGATTTCCGCAGATGTTTATAGGGAGCGCTAAAATTGTTGAGATGATTACCGAAACTAGTCTTAAGTGTGAAATATACCGTGTATCAACCATTCGTGAAAATCATCTTGCTTGATCGATTTTCTAGGGGGTTTAGCTGTCCTTGGTTAGGTTTTCGGAATTGAATCTAATTACTGTTAATTATATAAGAAGCAATAAGCAAATTGACAGTGTTATCTGACGATCCTGAATATGTTGTCATTTTTCGAATTTTTCACAGGATAGTCATCATGCAACATTTAGTTGTATATTGGATATCTCTAATTGTATGTTTCTTTTTTTTTTTTGCAGAGACCAGCTTTTCTCGTAGTTCACTTATAAAAATCTTTTGTCGTAATTCATCTGTAAAAACTATGTCCGAATTAAGAACTGTTGTAAAACCATCAAATCACCCTGCAAGTCACGAAGCAAGAGGCAGTGGACATGCACGACCGGAACCTGCGAACAACAGCAGGTTTATTAGCTTGTTGTATTACTAGTATTTTGAAAAAGTTCATGTTATTAATTCTGAGTAAATAGTAAAGGACAGAAATTATGGAACTTTCCCAATTGTGAAGTGCTTAGTACCGTTTACGTTATCACTTGCTATATTATAGTATACATAGTTCAGGGGATGATTTCGGACGTCAGTGATTAAGCTTGGAAGGACGTGTTGTAAATCACCCGTGGTTTAAGTTGCCAATGCCTTAAACTGCTCGCGTTCACCAACTAGGGTGAACTTTATCTTCCCAGTATATTTAACATGTGTCCTCGAAAACTGGTTAGATGCCCCAACTATTATTAAAGAATTTTTATCAGAAAAGCTGTTAAATACAGTTTAGAGAATTTTAAGGATCTGCTGGTTGACATGTTGAAGTTCATAGTTCTGCTTTCTAGAAGACATACAGCTGAGCATTTTGGTCGTGATAGAGGTAGAATTCAACAAATGTACCAAAGAGATGGTCCAAATCGCCATGATTTTTATAACACGAACAACGGAAGAGGTGAACGCAATTCGAACTCAAGAACACATATGACTCGCAGTCTAAAATATTATGAACGTCTTACTGCTACTTTAGTAAGTTTTCTTTTTTTTT